GTGGTTTATGTGTACTGAACTTCTGTTCTGTTATAGGCTTAAACTAGTTTTTGATCACTTAAATCAGTTTGTGTAGGGCTGTGAGAAATGGCTATATTTCAATCCAGTTTTGGATCGGCCATTTCAGAGGGACAGTGATTTGTTTTGGTGTTTTGGATCACTGTTCTGTTTCAATTTGGCCAAATCTGTTTCGGAGTTTCGACGCTGTTTCGGTGATTCAACCAGAGGCTATAATGGGGAATCACTAAAATGCATTTAACTTTGTCATTTCTTGTCTGATTTGAATGAAATTTGCAGGGCTGGTAGCCCCTTCTAAGGGCATAAGGTCTGCCAAGTTTCAAGGAGATAAGTGCAGGGGTTCCTGTGAAAGTGCACCTCAAACTGTTCAAAGCAAAACTCATATCACTTGTCAGCAGCGCCAGCCACCTGTCATCCCAGGGATCCGGGACACAGATCTGGCACTGGACCCAGCTGGCAGTGGCAGCATACTGTCATCCCACACACAGATCCAGGGGCCCATGCCCCGCCGGAGGGCTGCGGGGCTGTATCAGACTCCACCCAAAGGGCACAGGCCCAGATTTGCGCGTGGGATGACAGCAGGCTGCCGTCCCTCCCCCAGGGCACTTGGATTGGAAGGGACCTCAGGGACAGATCGCAGACACTGGCCAGCTACAGCTGTCAATATCAGAGCAGTCCTTCCCCCACTTTTCCCCCCTCCCTCTTCTTAGTTTGTTTCCCTGCAAGCCTGGCTCTGAAACTCCAAAATTTTCTGAAACGTTTCAGATGGTTTCGTTTCATTTCAGAGATGTTTCAGAGCCTTCTGTTTAGTTTCAGATTTGGTGTTTCGGGTGCTGAAATGGGCCAAAATACATCCAAAATGAAACAGCTGCCGACGTTTCACACAGCCCTAGTAACTTCTGTCCCTAGCCTATGTGTGTATACTCGAGATACCTGCCGCAAAGGATCTTTGTGCTAATTAGTTCCCACTCATGACTGGAACACTCCAAAAATTTAGATGCAGATGAGGCACAGAGCAACCTTGTCCGGCTTCACCTCATGGAAGGTGGGAGCCACACTAATCATGTGTGTCAGACTGAGAAAGGAGGTGACAGATGAATTCTGGGTGAGCTGTATGGAATGCTGTGCCTCATGATGAACTGGAAAAGAGTCAGTAGTGAAGGGGACTATGCTTAATGGGCACTCCCATATATCTGTGCTACCAGATGAGCTATGCTAACCTATCCTTCCTTGCTTCCTATCAGTATGTGTGCCCAATGTAGGCCATGTATTTTACAGTCATGCCCAGTGTTGGCTGGTTTTAATCAACTTCATAGTTAGTTTCCATTGCTAAGTGTACAAAAGCAGCAGTTTAATGTCAGACAATGTATTTAGCGAGATTTCTTTATATATGATTATAAGACAAGGGGTTTTCTTCCCCATGCTAATTAGGAGGAAAACCCTTGTCTTGTAGTCAAGTAAATATGGTAGGTTCATCACGAGGCAGATGCTCAGCATGGATAACATGCGTCTGCAGGGTTAAAAGTCAGCAAAGTAAAATCAACTGAAAACAGTTTTTTCCTACTCCTAGTCTCCCTACGTTTCAGGGTCACTCTTCCCCACATTCATTTTCCTCACTTCCTTGTTCCTTAATCAAATCTATAAAATAATACGTTATTAATAAATAGAATTTGAAAGCCCAGGGCCTGTAGATGTGAGCAAAACAATAAAAGGGTAAAAAGGACGAGGCCCTGGGTTCATTACCCTTTCCTCCCTTTCTCAATATGAAATGTTGTTCTAATATTAAAAGTAACAGTTCCAAATCAGTAACTCTGGTTCTGTTGACAGAATTCATATGAGTCCACAAACCAAACTAAAAAGTAAAAGCAGATCAGACTCCTCTTCTATAAACTTAACAGTCCTGGCACCTACTTACTTGGTAAAAGGCAGGTCATTCTATCAGGTCACCCAGCCTCCCCTAACCTCAAATATTTCTCTTGGCATATGTATCCTGGGGTATGACCACTTGTTCTGTCTAGTTAAAAAACTAGTGAGACTCTACTGTTTTCCCACAGTCCAGACAAGCTAGAGAAAGAGGAACGTTCACCCAGCAAGTTTCTCAGGAACCTTCAGTGCACGTCCCCGCTCCTGATCATGATCCAATAAAAATGTACTTCATTCTCCACAGAAGCAGTATCTGACTTCCTGGATAGCCACTGTTTATATGAATTACTGAAGTTTGCCCCATATGGAAATTTCCATATGAAGAGTATTCGGAACTAGAATATTTTTTTATTAATCCCCAAAAGACAAGTGCATCTCACTGAAATAATGAATTATTATTCCTCTGCTCTTAATACCAAAATATACAAACACAAATAGTATTAACAACAAAGAATACTGTTTTTCCATGGGTAGACAATTTGATTAATATCTTCTCCCCAGGATAGGAAATAGAGAACACCTCCAAAAACAACAAAATATCCAGCCTTCACAGAATGACGATCCCAAGCTATTTTTCACGAAATGGGAAGCTAAGTGTCACTCAAGTCTTAATATGCCCTATATGCTGCAGTGAAACACAATTTAATCATCAAGTGCAAGTTTTTGAGAATTATTTTCTTTATAACTGGAAGTCCATTTTTGAAGACTGCTATGCACTTTGGAAATTAAGGACTCTTAGCTAACAAGATTTGCCTAACTGTGGAAATTGAACATTTTAAAATAAATAACAGCACTGTTTTGCAATGTTGGGGCTGACCTGCCATACTTGCTTGAATTATCTCACTCATTTTAATGTTACAAAGTCATATGAGTATAGGCTATAAACCAAGGTGTTTCATCTCAAAATTTGCATCTCTTATTAATTCAAACTATCCCCCCACTTCAATGCATTTATTATTCTATTAGTGCTTCCACAAGAAAAAAACATTATTTCCCAAAGTATGCTATAAGAAGCATTATACGGCATTGTGAAGCCAGGTCCCTGGAAGAATCCTTGTAGAATAAAACATTCACAGAACTTCATAATTGTGAACTATTATGAAGAATGTAAACAGATGATTTTCCCCTGTGCATTTGTTTTCTAATTTGTTCAGGAGCTTGATATCTTTTTCACAAAATGATTGAAAAACCAGATGTACATCTGGCATATCATATGCAAGTACCACCCATTGCCAAAACATGATGAGCTGTTTACTTTATCCAATGTGATTACAAAAATACTGATCAAACACACTAGATTACAGTGTTATCAGTAAGAGTATGCAGTTCTTATAGAAGAATCAGATTTCTGCTCTATACATTTTACTCTTTAAGCAAACTATTGAGCAGTGTATTTATTCAAGGATTATATATAAAATTCTTTTTAAATACTTTAAAAAGGCCATTTGGATTGCTTAAATAATTATATTTGATTATTAGATACCATTCTATTGGTTGACACACTGACATGCTCAGGATACATGGAAGAACTTCTTCCTAATTGATCAGATGTGTATGTAATAGTGTTAGGCATCTTATGACTCTGAAGTATATTTAAATTAAATATTTATGAGGTATATTTATGCCAGTTTTGATGTGCTATGGGGCTGCAAGTGATCCAACTGACACCAGTAACTCTATTGGAGTAACCATAGGTCAGTGGTGCTCAAAATCCAGCCTATGAAACCTTGTCATCCAGCCTGTGATATAATCTACCCTCACAGGTCCAGAAATTTGGCAGCAGGGTAGTAGTGTCAGTGTTAATTGCCATTCAATTGCTGCCAAATTTCCAGCCCCATGGGGAGCCCCACAGGCTGGATAACATGGCTCTGCACACTAGATCACACTGGTGTGTGGTTGGGCCAGCACACTGGATTACACCTCTGGACCAACCCCACATGGCAACCCTGTGCCATTCATTCAATCCATAAGTCTGGAAGTTTGGTGACCACTGCCCTAGGCTTTTCTCTACCTCTTTACCTACTCCCAACGTCCATATTGATTAGATGGGTTAAAGAGTCCACCACATACTTGACTTAAATAGTTATCAAGTCAACTTTGTGTGGAATCACATCCCTTCCAGTCCTTCAGTGGGGGCATGCTGATGGTGGCAGTCCAGACATGCAACACTCTAGCAAGTTATGGCTGATAGAAGGTTAAGGCAGCAATCTGCTGGGTGTCCTACATCACCACTGCCTCCTATCTACATCCATGAAGGGGAAGCCACTCCTTTACTGTGGCTCCTGTGCCTCTGCCCAACACCACAGAAATAAGTAATTACATTCCAAAGTTTCTAGTGAGCTATTTTGGATTTACATCAGCTCAGACCAGCAGTATATCCTTTACTTTAAACCATTTTAAAATGCTGGTGTCGCTAGACTGATGACATCCAAATACTGATTGAAACAGAAATGTATAGTACATGGATAAGTTTATAGCTTATGAATACCCACATATAATACAAATAACTCGGGTTATTTGTAGACCTGAGCTGTCATTTTTCAAATCCTGAAGTCAAAAATTGTCTAAAAGCTTTAACTGTTCACTACACAACAATCTGCTTGTTGACAGATGTAATTTCCTCACTCCATTCAAACTTGTGTGAAACAAAAACTGTTCAGAATGATTTTTTGAACTAGCAGTACCAGTGGTAATGTACATTAAGAATTTTTCATATCTCTAAACAGGGATCTGGTTTTAACTACAATAGGTATATAGGAACTGACATAAAGGACTGTGTTGTTCTTTCTTGTCATTGAACAACAACAACAACAACGCAAGAGTTGAAATGCCGCAGAAGTACAACTTTCTGGCAGCTTATCTGTACTTAGTGCTTTGCATTCCAGAGTCCTCACCTACAACATTTTTTATGATCTGATTCTTGAACTGTTTACGTCACTTGCCAGCATGGAAACAGGCTCATAAGCAGCTGACTCAAAAGATTTATTGTTTTGTTTGCTTAATATAGAAAGCCATGCTTGCTGGGGTGTGCATGTATGTGTGTATTTGTGGTGCAATACCTGGACATCTATACAGCTTTCTTGCCTGTGCAATATCTCCTTTACTTAGACGAGTACGCTGACCAATGGCAGGTCGTATACCATTATCATCACGGGAAGGAAGAATAGTATCCAGAAACATGCCCCTATAACAAAAAAGAAAGACCCCCAAAACTTATAAGTTTTCCATCAATAAATAATCCTAGTATTTGTAATATACAATATTCATTCATTCTGCAATATATAGTAATTACGTTTACTACTATTTTGAAGGCAATATTACAAAAAAAAAAGAATGCAAGAGAAAAATTGCATGTCAGAAAAAAATAGTCATAATGATAAAAACTGAAAATAGTCTTGTTTCAAGATGCTAACACAACTACTTTTGGTTTGCTGACAACAACATTTGCTTATTAAAACGTAAATTTAATAAAAATTAAAAAGTACTATAGTTTAGACAGGCACGTGGCTAGGATGGTTTAATTGGGGATGATCCTGCCTTGTGCAAAAGGCAGCAATATAAATCCACGCTAACTTATCTGCCATCAGAAGAATTATCTCAATTATATTAGTATAACAGAGAACCATTTTTGGTGAGAATATTATATTTAATTTAGAATTTGCCTGGCCTCAGGTGGTTAATATTTAAATAAATAATCTTTTTGAGTTGGGTATGATAATATTACATTAAGATTATAAACTATAGAAAAGTGGGTGTTGGTTCTTTAAGATAAGAAATCTCTGAAACCCTTAAGTCTGAGACCTTTTTAAACCTATTGTCATGTCAGTTAGCTCATTTCTATATGCTCTGCTTTATTTTTGATACTCATTTATAGTTGCAAGACATACATTGAATATTAAAATCCTGAACTGCCATTTATCAGTATGGACTAGCATAATGAGAGTAGAAATCTTAGTAGTCACACTTATGAATAGGGATAATTTTTTAAACCACAGTTTTTCAACCTGTGGTACATGTACCCCTGGGGGTACAGGAGACAGGCAGGGGGTACACGGGTACCCCAACACTCTCTCTCTCTTGCCCTCTTTTCCTCTCTCTCTTGCCCCTTCCTCCTTTCAAAACTATGGCAAAAAAATTGGTACACTGCGTACCGTGTGGCACTTTAAATTCCCCAGTAATAATTTGGCGTTCAGCCCTCCTAGCTTTGGCCAACATCACCTCTAGACCAGGTATATACTCGAGCTGTGCACCCCGGCGTAAAAGGTGGCAACCCTACCCACACCAGATCAGACATCTGTCTGAACTATTTACGGCCTTATATACACAGCCCTTCTTCCAACATACGGCACACATTAGTCTGTAAATATAAAATCCTCTGGAAAATTGAGTGTGGGGGTACTTATTAAAATTTTCAGAAGTTAGGGGGTACCTGCTACTTAAAAGGTTGAGAAACACTGTTTTAAACTATAAGGCTAGAGACAGACATTCAAAAATCCAGAATCTGAATTGATTTGAAATTTGCAGGTTAGTCTAACCTGCCCAAATTGAACCAATTTGTGAGTGAACAGGCATTCCCTTTTGTCTCAGGAAATACAGGCACATGCCTGCAGTGGCTCAGGCCAGAAGCTGGGGGGGAAAGGAGGGGCTAGAGCATGCCCTTGGTTGCTGGGAAGCTGTGCTGGAGGAGGGGTGAGGGGGAGCATGGCTAGGCCCCAGCAGTAGCCTAAACTGAGCTGGCCAGGGAGGGGATTTAAATGTCCCCTCCCTGTACCTCCCTGGGCTGGAGTCTGCCTGGTGCTCCCCCCTCACTGCTACAGTGGCAGGGGCAGGGGCATGCCTGGCCCCGCAAGGCAAAGGGGGCAGGGAGGGGGTTTATTCTATCCTCTGCCCCGTCAGGAGTGCAGCTAGGGTCTGCCAGCTCCAGCTGCTACATCCACTGATCGCTCCCTGCATGGGGCAAGCAACAGTATAAGCCCCCTCCCTGCCCTCTTCACCAGATGCCAGAGGGAGGGGGGAAATAAACCTCCTCCCTGCCCCCTTCCCCTAAGGGGCCCATGCCCCAGCCACTGGAGTAGTGAGGGGGAGTGACCCTCATGGGGCAGCAGCCCCTGTCATGGTATCCTGGGAGAACAAGCCTCTTCCTGGTGGGGGGGTGGGAGCTGTGCTGCATGCAGGACTGGGGCGGGCAGGGCTGCCACAGACTACACGGGGAATGGGGTTTATTTCCCTCCTCCCTCTGGCATCTGGAAAAGGGGGCAGGGAGGGGACTTGTTCCCTCATACCACACAAAGAGAGATCAGCAGAGGTGGCAGATGGGGCTGGCAGACTCCAGCTGTGATCCCCAGGGGGACAGGGGACAGAGGGAGGAATTAACCCACTCCCTGCCTGGCTACGGGCAGAGGCAGTGGCTGGGGCTATAAAACCCAGACTGCGGTCCCTGGGGAGAGAGGGGACAGAGGGAAGAATTAACCCCCTCCCTGCCTCCTTTGCCTTAACAGGGCCATGCCAGCCAGTATCTGACAATGCCCCTATCCCTGGCACTGAAGTAGCAAGGGGAGGGGGGAGGAGAGAAAAGAAAGTAGGATTTTTTTTTGAACAACACAGGTGTGGCCTGAAGACCAAATTAATGTAATTAAGCTTGAAAAATAAGAAATTGTTCTTCTTCCAATACCCCTTAGATGTGGCTTCTTCCTTCTCATCCTCTTTCAGGGGATACTGTTTTTGCAGATTTTTAACACAGATGCTGTCCTGTGTTTATATTACAGCAGAGGTATAACCAGCAAGTTTTGCACTGGGCTAAGCCCTGCTGGAGAATGAGGTTTGAGGGGAAAGGGGCTGGGTTCAAACCACCTCTGGACGAGGGACTAGGAACCTGGGTCTCCTACTCCCTAGGCCAGTGGTTCCCAACCTTGGGTCATGACCCAAATGAGGGTCATGGGGGCAATGCCGGCAGCACTGCACACAAAGGATAAGTCGTGCCACATGTCGGGAGCTCCCCCGCCCCCGGGCTGCCACGGCTGCCCTCCATTCCCAGGATTGGGTCGCAGCAAAACAAGGTTGGGAACCACGGCCCTAGGCAATCCTCCTTCAGGCCATTGGGCTAAAACACAGCAAGGCCTCTTCTTCCGGGGCCAAAAACTCAATAATTGTAACTTTTCTGTGACTAAAGCCTTGGGTCTTACCTGGCACTACATACATGCCAAGTGATTCTATTCCCCTTAGGTGCCTGCAGCCTACTAAGCATACTATGTGGAGTCTAAACACGGCAATAATGCCAAAAAGTATAGTCACATGGCTATGTAAAAAAGAAAGTATTTAGCCCTAAGAAGGTAGAATGATTTACCCACAGGTCACATAGAAACTGGGCCTTGAACATAACTCTTTATGCACAGATAAGCTTAATTGCCTTGTTAATATTTTTATGGGGTAGTTAGCATCTGATCTACAAAGTAATGCCATATGAAATATAATAAGCATTTTATCTCCCCCTCACTTATGCCCTGTAGTAGGACTGTATAAAGGAAACAACCAGTTTAGCAGTAGTGTAGCAGCACTCTGAATTTTCTGAAAGTTTCAGAAGGAATCTTTGTACCATCCATATGTTCACAGTCAGGAAAACTGGCAACAGGGCAACCAGTACTAACCAGCACAGGCCAGAGGAGGAACAACAGGAATCATGACTATGTTTCTAAGGACAGTAACAACATGTACAAACAGCAAAGAATGGACTTCAAACTCCATTCAGGTCAACTGGCTGCAGCCTTCTGCAATGTCCTAATTAAAAGGTTATATTTACCTGACAAGCACTTTTAATACTTTACATTGACATAAAGCACAGACTTTATGGGCATGTTCAGCTGAGTGCTCACGTGCGTTTCCTACATAGTTGTGCCGCTGCTACTTGTCCCTGGGGAACGCCTGTGCATGTGCACTCTGGAGCACAGCAAGTTGCCCTAGGTGGCGTAGGGGAGGCTGGGGCAAGCACCTAGGCCTGCCACAACAGCCTTAGGCTCCTGGGGCTTCAGTGGTGGTGATCCAAGTGTGTGCAGCCTCGCCAGCAGCCAGTGTGGCTGCAGCCGGCCAGGCTCCAGGTTTGGATAGTATATGTTGCTACCACATGTGCTGCCCCACTTCTTTGGTGCTGGTTTTTTTTACACTGAAATCTCCCCGTGTCAAAAAAACCTGTGCTGCTAATTAGCAATGCAGCAAGCACCTGCATGTGCAGTGAGTGCACTTTGCAGTGCCACAGACAAGTCTGCAGTGCCGCAAACTGCACATGTGCGTTTGTCTGGATGCATCCTATATGTTGAAGCAGACTGCACCCTGATAGAAAAGTTCAAAGTGCAAATAAAATGCCTAGTCATTTAGCTTATTTGATGCTTCTGGATTTATATTTTTTAATAGAAAAATAATTACAGAAAATAAATGACTGCTATCTTGAACTTAACATTAAATCTAAGTAACTGAAACAACAGAAAAAGAAGGCTTTGAGACTGAGTAGGATGAAGAGGAAATTAAGCAATGTCTTTTAAAATAGAATCAACTTACTCTACTTGGTCCAATTGAAAAAAAAAAGGTGTGTTTTGACTCCTCTTAGGAACATGAACTAGTGAGGGACTGTAATGTTTTAAAGCCATTCTGGAAATGTTATTAGTAAAACTAGTATTCATGGGGAAGAATGGAATTAAAAGTCAAAAGGTATAACCTGAGACTCCAACCTTGAGAAAGTGTTCCTGGCATAGTGCATAATGCTGTCAAAATCATAGGGTTCCCCAAGGGAGTTAACCTCTCCTGGCTCCATCTTCAGGAAGTTGTATTCCTGACCTACAAGCAATTCATAAACAATATCTCAGATGAACCATTTGATAAAAAGGAAAAGAAAGAAAAATACCACCAACAGATACAATAATCATTCACAGACATTTTTAGTTTAGTGAATTCTAACCACCAGAGTAGTTAACTGCTTTTACTAATTACAGTGGACGAGAATGCATGAACTCCATAAACCCATGACTAGATTATTTACATGTAAATTAGCTGTTTCATTTACATTGACACTATAAGCGATTAAGACATCATACACCAAAAATTAAGGTAAATGTGGAGTCCACTACATTTACCAATTTAGCTATCAACTGCAGGAGTAATCTGATTGTACAAGGCGATTACCAGAATTATTTTATTTAAATAGAAACTACCTTTTACAAAACTTATTTACTCACAACAGTAATTTGGTCCAGGTTCTAGTGGCCTGCACTACTAACTTCATAAAAATGCTTTAGCTTCAGAAGAGAATTGCAGCAATCTGTTTAAGAAAAAAGAAGCTGCCTTCCAGGCCTGAAACCCACCAGAGATCTGGTCCTCATTGGTATATAAACCAGCCCTTACTAAAGCTCCAAATCATACTGAAATCCAGCCAAAGTTTTTACTTTATTATTAAACATCAGACCAACAACTCTAACCAAACCTCCAGCAGCTAAGAGAATGCTCTCAGAACACGTACCAATTTCACCCTGACAGAAATGCCTTCCTGACTCCAATAAGTGATGGGCAAGGCCAAACGACACCACAAGAAATGGTATTAACAAGCAAGTTCAAGCAAAAAACCATGGAGGTAGGATAGAAGCATGCAGGGTGGTTCACATTTACCTGGGATGAAACTAAATAGTTATTTACACTAAGGGCAAGAAATTAGCAGACCACCGTGTGGCTTGTGAATCCAGAGGCAAACAGTAGTTGCTGAATCCAACAATGTTTAGCACACAGAAGAGTTCAAGGAAGTGTGTATGTGGTAGCCTTGGATACAGAAGATAGAGCCTAAACCACCCCTTATACCTCTAGACTGGGATCCAAGCTAATGCCTAATACATCTTGATGCCTGTACATCTTGTCCAAAGTCCCATCTGAGGTGACATAGCTTAATTGTATCCCAAATGAATTTCTTTAAACATGAGTTTCATATTAAGAGACTATAAAATGTCTTAGGTGTACAGACTTGAACTCTTTTCAAATTAAATCAAGGTTATACAGTCTAATACTGAAAATATAATTAGACCAATGTAGTCTAATGATATTTTATATTATGTTTTGCAGTTTTAGGAATTATGATACTTAGTTTTTTGCTGCATCTAGACCATCTGGTAATATAAAGCTCCAAAAGGAAAATAAAACCCTGCTGTGCAAACATTGAGTAACTGGCTAAAAGAAAGTATTTCTAAAAATAAATAAAACTAGAAAAACCCATATTCTTAAATAAAAGTGTTATAGATTTTGTCCTGAGAAGTTATTCATTTCGTGGAATTCTAACATATTGGTTAAACAAATTGGTTTAAACTATTCTAACAGAATGGTTTAAATTTTACCTTCATAGTTATTTTCATAAAGAAGGGCTTAAAAGGGATTTAGGTTGCTTAAGTGCTACAATTTTCCACATAATGTACACTCTAAAAAGCAAGAAAATGCCAAGTAATGGAACCTGTATTAGGGCACAAAGGATGTTTCTAACAACAGCAATGGACACTTTGTACCCTCACAAGGTACTTAGCATTTGTTGAGAGGAAAAGGTAATTCATCAAAATCAAAAGAATTCAAAGATGTAGTTTAATTACGAAGTTGAAAGCCAATCCATGCCTGCTTTCCTGCCAACTTCTGCAGCTGGCTCCATTGCGGCCTAGGCTTCAAGGTTCCCAGCTCATAGGCAGCCCATCCAGTGGGCTGACTGGGAGACTGGCATGTTGAAATTTTGGTATTCCTAGTTCCTGAACTCTTAAGACAATTCCATAGCTCCCTTGGCAGCTTACCACAGGCAAAAACCATCTACGTTCCTGGTGTCTGAAGGAGCTGGTAGCTTAGAAACCTTGGGGGTTCTGGCTTCTCAGCCATGAAACTACCACCTGAATCAAAGCTTCAAGGTGCCCAACCCCCCTCAGCCAACCAGATGAGATTAAATAAAACTGGGACCCAAACTGCCAGTCTTGTAGCTTCTCCACAGCTAGCTTGATCAGGGTCTGCTACTCCCGGGCAATTAACCAAATAAAATATTAGTACCAGCATCATTTTCCAAGCTTCAATATAATTTTATTCATGTTTCATATAAGGTCAGGAATACAGCATTCTGACTCTAAAGTATGACAATGAAAAAGGCTGATGGCTCTTTTCCATAGCAACAGTTTTTCCTTGAGTCTCTAAAGGCCATAAATAAAGATGTGCTTCCTCCTCTATGTTTATTTGATATTTAGACATTAGCTCTTGTCAACAAAGATAACTGCACTTTATCATGCATGCTAACTGCGCTTTATCATGCATCAGCAGATGCATGACAAACAGAACCAAGGAGGTGATACTTCCCCAGTCTAAACAGTCTAAATCTGCTCTCTGCTAGCTTATGGCCATTATTTCTTGAGACCCCCAGGGGCGACTTGGTGAGTAAAGCCTCACCAATTCCCTTCTGCGCCCCCATGATGAATTTACAGGCAACCACAAGGTCGCCTCTCAACCTTCCCTGGCGGAGGCTGAAGAGGTCCAGGTGCTCTAGTCTCTCCTCATAAGGCTTGGCCTGCAAGCCCTTAACCATACGAGTGGCCCTTCTCTGGACCCTCTCCAGGTTATCCACATCCCTCTTGAAGTGTGGCACCCAAAACTGCACACAGTATTCCAACTGCGGCCTGACCAGTGCCCAATAGAGACATTAGGAAAAACTTCACAGTTAGAGTGGCCAAAATCTGGAATGGGCTCCCAAGGGAGGTGGTGCTCTCCCCTACCCTGGGGGTCTTCAAGAGGAGGTTAGATAGGCATCTGGCTGGGGTCATCTGAACCCAGCACCCTTTCCTGCCTATGCAGGGGGTCAGACTCAATGATCTATTGAGGTCCCTTCCAGCTCTAACATCTATGAAACACCAGATGAAACTGCAACTTAGAAGTGCTATATATTTATATAGTTTTCAGTCACTCTGGAATCCATCCAGATAAGAGAAATGGTATAAATATGAGTTAATTTCTGTTGTAATATTACAAGTTGAATTTAAGAAATAATAAAATTCTGAATGATAATCATTTTAGTTATGAATTATAAATTAACTAATGACAAGAATCACCAAAAAGTGTAAAAATGCAATCTTCAAGCCAGATTGAAAAAAGCCATAGTCATCCAACCATTGCTCTGGCATGGTTAAGACACATCGGTTTCAGTAGACAATGGCACATGAGGGATTGATGTACCTAGCATCACATTCAGTCACCTGTTTTGATTGGTTAGTTTGAATGACCAGTTACCCATTTACAGATGGTTTGCTGGGAGTACTCTTTGGTACAAGTCCAAAGTTAAGCTCAACAATCATTCATCAGGAACTTTAGCAAAGAAAACCTTAACTTCACTACATTGTTTTACAATCATAAACAGACGCATCAAAATGAACCTAATACCAGCAGAGAATTTTTTTTAAATCTAAGAGTGCTTATCAAATTATCTCACCTGGCTGAATGTTTTCTCTAATGATGGTTACATGGTCATCTCGGTCAGGTCGTGTATGTTCGTGCCAGAAGCCTATCACATGCCCCAGTTCATGAACAACTATTCCAAATTTATCACAGTTCTTGCCAATTGATATAGCCTGGGGGCCATTACCCCTTCGACCCACATAAGAACAGCACCTGCAATTAGAATACAAACCAAGAGGAAAGGTTTTATGATGTACGCACAGATCCGTAAATTTACAGGAAAGCAACTTCCAGCCTGCTAGTGAATAAAATTTAAACATTAGATTATCAATATAATACAATACAGGACCAAGGCAGTTTTGCAAGCTTTACAATGTGTCATTAAAAAAAGATGAACTTAGTATTTAGTAGTGCTTAATACTGCATGTAAATTCCTGAAAAAAATGTATTTATCCAAGGTCTTAATTGGTATCATTTGTGGCCCATCAAACTGTTCCTTATTCCCCTGTGCCTGTCTGAAACAAAATAAATTTCCAAATACATAGTAAATTTCCAAAATAAATCATAAAACTGTGATCTCTTGCATAGTTGTCTTGAACATGAGACATGTCACCACCAGCTGAGCAGGTTAAGTGACTGGTACTTTGTTACTGTCTTTGAACACCATTTTCAGTAACATTTTAATCACAAGGGAGTGCTAACATCAAATTTTGAAAACTCCTCTCCCTTGTTATCTGAGTAGGGATCTACTGAAAACATATCTGCCCAACTCTCACTCCACCCGTTCATAAAGAAGACGACAGTGTACAATAAAAATCCCCCACATCTTCATGACTTCAGGAAGACAGGTAGCCAACATTTCTACTAGTTCTTCATAAGGCTACAGAGTGAAATACCACAGGGGCTCTGTAAGAAATAATCCCTTCCAGTGAGCAAATAGTCAAATGTGTCTTTTTCGCATCTAAAACAAAATTTAGATGAGAAGCAAACAAACAAGCAAGCAGGCAAAAGCCCCAAACTACAGAAAATTCTGCTTGATTGAACTTATTTTAGACCTAATAAGACCTGATTTTAGATATATTAGACTGGATTTTTCCCTCATAACTAAAAATATACTTTTATACTATTGTAATGCTATTGATTTCACTGGGACTATTCCTATACTGAAAGCTAAACCACTAATTAAGAGCTTTGCTAAACCAGTGCCTAAAATCAGGCCCTCTCAGAGGTCGAGAGAGGTCCGGACCACTTCCATTTTTTGAGGCTCAAAATACAATGCAATAATTTGTAATAAATGTTCCTTTTTTATTTAACAAATGCTTTTCTAGCTTTTTTCTTCTTCTTTCAATCCTGTCAGTGTATCTGTGTGTCTGTATGTATAACCTCATTTGGAGATGACGTCAAAAGTCTAAATTTGAGGCCCTCCGTGAATGAGAGGCCCAGGCCAAATGGCCCTCCTGGTCCCCCCGTGACAGACCCTGCCTAAAATATATCTGAAATGGAATTACAAAACTATTGCATATATATTTATGTCCTCAGACCATTAAAGCCAGACTTTACAATCTCTGTAAAACAC